CAAGAATCATAAGAATAAGCTGTTTTGTTATTGTGTTGTCGTTCTTTGGAAACTCTATGAAACGAGTAGGACATGCACAAAGCGTCGTATAAATTTTTTCATTAATAAAAGAGTCGCTGCTCAAAAAACAAATTCATCAATTTTCATACGTCTACTATGCAATGCATTAAATCATTTTGTTGTAATAAATCAATGAGTCATCAGTCGAAGAGCTGTTTTCATCAAAAATAGCATTTTGCCGTTTACTTGAGTAATCTCTAAATACTACGAAACGTTCAAGATTTATAGAGTTCGTTTATCTAATAATTTTAATATTCAGATGTCAGCGGTTTGACTTTTCTTTAAATCAAGATAATTTAATGAAAACTAACTTCTAGACTAAAATTTTTTTTCAAAATCTAAAGAATTTTTATTTTTCTAGAGCTTTTACTATTTTTCAGACAAAGAACAAAAATCTAGGTCTGTTCTGACAGTCTACAAGTCACACTATCAAACCACGTAGAAGAATGATGTAGAGAACATTTTCTTATACGCACTATTCGGTACTTAAACTAATATATCTCAATAAAGAACCTATTTTCTACGCATGGACAGAGTAACATAGTAGATTTTGTAGTGCGAAAACCGTTCTACAAATGACATTATACGATTTTCCATCTAGTTTAGATTTTAGTTAGGTAGTACCTTCTCTCAATTTTTTTTGATATTCTGATATTATATGCCTTATGTATTCATACTTTCTCATGAACGGTAAAAAAATAATATTCCCAAACTTCAATTTTATCTAATTAGATCTCAACTAATTAAGCAAAATATCTACCAGACTTCTAATTTGAGCAAGCTTTCTTCAATTTGATGATAATATGATTCCAGAAAAACACGACTTTTCTTGAAGTGCGCCTCTCACTAACAAGGGAACATCTAGATATACTAAATTGTTTCTGAACCGACGTCGTGTTAGTTTAATAGACACTAGACTATAATGAGAAAACGTGATAAGAGATTCATTTTTCAGTGTTTCATTTCTGTAAAATGGTTTTTTGCTCTATTTTCGAACAAATCACTGTGACCCAACATTCACGTCACCTTGACAATCAGGTTTCGCATTTTAACCTGAAACTTGTCGGAGATAAGGTTCTCAATAATAACAATTTACTTTGAGAATTCAAATTTTTTCTATCATAGAATATTGAATATAGAAACAGAATACTGCTTTTTTCTTAAAACTGAATTTTCAGTCTTAGTATATCAGGGCAAGAGCAACTAAGAAATTTTTAAATTGTCACAATGAACTAAGTTCATCCCATTTAGGACTATTTGTTGAAGATTTCAAGTTTAAACTACAAATAATTTTCGATGCAATCTGAGATCAATCATAATATTTTGCTGTATAAATAAATCCTTATAGAATATTTTTATTGCTTACTAGGATTCATTTATTGTAGTTTAAGTTTCTCCCTAAGGATCGAAAACATTTTTTCTTATCAGAAGGAAAAAACTATATAGATAGCATTATTCGAAAACAGTTAGATCACAACATTTTTTATACGCCCAGGTCTTTTTCCTAAGATGAAACTATCTATTATCATAGAATTTTTCTAGAAGTTTGGTCTTATGACATTCTTATAGTGTCTCATAGATTTTCGTATTGTATTAAAGGAGTTCTGTATGAAACTAGCAAAAAATTTCTCTAGAAAATTAAACTTATTTTTTAATATGAGATAATAATGTATCTCAAGAAGTGCTGAAATATTATTAAAGTGTATAAGTACTTTGCAGCCACATACATAAGGGGCGAAAAGTAATGAAAGACAATGCTTTTTTTATTTTGTCTCTGTGCATGAATAATAAAATCTCTTATTTTTACTTCATATACTAGATAATGATAGTCAGATGCGTAGCATATTATTAGTCTCTGGACTCATTAATCTGTTTCAAAAACACATCAGTGTATACCCTATACTCCTATGTGATGCAAACAGGAATCAATGCTTCCTTGGCGAATTTGAGTACCAATTTTCGTCTGACTTTACCAAGTTGCAGAATAAATCATATTTGTATTATTTTTTGCACTTTTTTTATCTTAAGAGAATGCAAAAAAGAATAATACAATATTGAACTTAGAAACTGATAATATGTTACGGCTCTGACTATCACTCTCTATTATGTGGCATAAATAACAAATTTTATTATTCATATATGGAGACGAAATCTAAAAAGGCTTTGTGTTTCCTTCATTTTGGCCCACTCTGTATATTTAATGTTTCAAAGTTGAAGTGTATGAAATTTTGATAAATATCACCATAGCATTCAATTTCTCTTTTGATTTTGCTATGTTCTTTCAATAATTCAAGTACATTAAAATCTAATAAGTTGAAAGTTACTGTGCATATATTTCTGAGTGAGATCTATTAATTAATACTCTCAACTTCCTCCATCTCTAAGAAAAGTTTGAAAACTATTAGCATTCTTTTTCGAAAGAATCTTACCGCCCTGGTTTAGCTACATCCATTACCACTGCAGAATCAATGGTAATATCTACTGTTTTAATAGCCATGAGTGATATCTATCAACATACATACAACATTAAGAGTTCTTATGATAGTAAAAGCTTATCTACAACTTGAGAAAGAAGATTCTTTTGTTGAGTATCGGAGATAGACCCGTATGAAAGACTTCCATTCCCTATTGCGTAAGAAGCATTGAATGGTAAGCTTGCTAAAAACAAAGCAACATAAAATTTACAAGAATGTAAGATAAAGCAGAAATACGACGCTTACGATATTAACGTATTTGTGTAACGCATCTAAAAGAAATTACATCTATAAATGTATGCGTATATGTAAGTCATATGAACTCATCGATAAATGCAGAAATTCTTCGCATCTATCTTCATTTAACAATAGCAATGTATGCTTTTACAACCGAAAAAAATACCATGTCTCGAATCGCATTCCTCGAGTCCTTCGATTCCTCAACTATCTTCACTTTTTAGCGAATCAATTCTTCTATGATTGTATAATTTTTGTGATATTTCACTCCTATACCACCTTATGCGTGAAATATGATGAGTAACTCTGATTTTATCTTGCACATTGAGACTTATAATTATTTCTATATGGGCACTCCTTCATGAAAATACTTTCTCTCTTTTTTTTTCCATTGATGAGTAACCTTAACATCTCTCAGGAAGACATCAACAGAAACGAGTTCGTAAGTGTCAAAAGCGTTTACTTGAATTTCTTTCACAATTTTTCTGTATAAAACACATTTCATCATATTTTTTACGCATTAAGAATCGATTCCTGAGACTGGCATCGACGATACATTCATATTTCTTAATTCATTGAATCTTTATATACTCAAATCTTTCAGATATTATTCTAGCAAATATTCTACTAAACGTAGTTTTAGTGAGTGCGACTTCATTCGATGAATATCAAAGATAAAGTGATAACAAGAAACATTCTCGAACTAAATTCAATCAGCAAGCTTTTTTTAAATATAAGAAGGTTCTACATCAAAGAGTTTCTTCAATCAACAAAGCTACTTTTTCAGTCATAGAAAAACGTGTATTTGACGTGTGTGATTTTCAGTTATGGAACCTTTTGTTCTCGATAAATCGTCGATGTTTTCCAGAAAATTATCTTCGTTCTGTATACGGGTGTTAATTTATTTTTAATTCGTGAAAGAAAGGTAAATACATTTTTCACACTTATAACATAACGATAAACAAATCTGTTATATGTAAAACATAAAGATGCATTGAAGAATAAAGGGAGATCTTTTTCTGTGACAGTTCAATAGACGAATACCTAGTATAACAACAATATATGCTAATGAACGTTCTTTCTTACCACCAACAACACTTCATTGTATAATGCTGTTAAAACATGAAAATAGTGCATGAGAAGACGTATATAGAAAACCTTCTCTGTATATTATCTTGTATATGCGATGTAATAATTTGTTCTGACTTACTTCGAATAAATAAAACATTAGGTTTTCATAGCAAACTATTTCTCTTTATGATTTAATTTTTCTTTATTTCATACAGATTACGATTTTATTTATATATGTTTTTTAAATAATAACGATGTTTTTATTTCATGAGTGTAAATATTTTATTTTATATTGATTCTTTATTGTAAAGAACGATAAAAATGAATAAACATTCCTAGTTCTATTTCGAACTTCACGATTTCCGATGAAGTCAATTATCCATACAGAGATTACAATAACAACTTGTGATTCTATTGATTTATCACTATCATAAGATAAATTTTCCGGAAAAAAAACGTCGAATACCGAAATATAGTGAAAGAACAGTCTTCTGAAATCATGAAAGAAATCTGCCTTACTTGTATATGTGCTGTTTTGTGTTTACAATATTGAAACTACGGCTTCCTTCTTACTTCCAGACTCATTTATACGCTCTTTCATGCGCAGTCATGCATACAGAATGACTGAAGTTATTTACCTCTCAGTTAAGTAATATTGATATATGAGTAAAAAATAGATAATTAGAATGCCTGGTTCAATATGTGATTCTTTCCAACTAATGAAACATTTAATTTCACGCACAATTTGGTTGCAAAGTGTGGTAGACGAGTTTTTTCCAATGTTGAATCATTTTATCGAGCAGAAAAATGGGGAACGTGACACTATTCGGGGTGTGAGTAGACTTACACGAAACTCAAACCCAAGCCATATGCAGAGTTTGAGGTTGACTCTGGATTTGACTGTGAGTGTTGAGTGGGATGTAGGTGTAAATGTGAGTGAGGGTCTTCTTTTCGTTCACAAGCACAACCACACGCATCTCACATATGCACACCAATATCCATACATCAAACTCCCGTCTACACCCATACCCTTTAAGAATCGAGATAAATGGATTCATGGAATGTAACCAACTGAGCGCCTGAAATTCTCCGGCTTTTATTGATTAAATGGCGTTACAGTGTTATTAAGAATGCACATCAGTACAGTAGAAGTACCTACTAATTGTTGTTCTCCAATGTATTATAGATAGCCTTCTCTGCAACATGTTCGGATTCGGTTGCTGAAGCAAGAAACATGTTGATGTAGTCAGCATATCGCATTGCGATATCTTCAGGTGTTAAATTAAATTGACTAAGATTGTATGTATGACGACCTTGCTTGCCTTGAGGATTTTCACGAAGCCAATTTTGCATGTTTGTTTCGAACTCATCAGACCAGTTCAATCCAAAATGTTGATAAATTTCGCGCACAATGACAATCGGTTGTCTCATCAAATTTTCATAGTTAACATCAAAGATCTTGTGCAAACGTTCTTCTGCATGACGATCACTTCTCCGAAACTTTACTATACAGTCAATCATGTGTTCTGTGCTTTGAATAGCTTGTGTCTCCAGTGTAATTCGATTCTCTGGATCAGAAACATCGTAATAATCACTACCATAACCTAAAGTTAGACTGCAAATGGATGGTAGGACTTCGTTCAAATGTCGATGCGTCATTATTAATAAAGCATTCGGATAATGACGGTTAAGTGTACCAAGGAAAAGAGAATGCATCGGAGCTTTCAACAGCCAGTGTGATCGAGGTGAATCGACGAAATCCAACATGCGGAGAAAGATCTTGTGATAGTCATAAGCGAAGTCTTTATTTGTATCATCGTAGAACCAGTGATCCATCTCAATTTGATGAATAGGACTCAATGTTTTCACTAACATATTGAGACCGCCTTGCATCAATATGAGCATATCTTCCTCAATGTCGTGAACTGGATGCATTTCAGCATATTTACGTGGTCGACCGAGCAATTGTTCACGATAATACATAAATGCTCGTAGTGCATCTATTTTTCGTGTCTGTTCTTCCACATTTGTACGTGAGATCGGTGGAACACATTCAGGATACACTTCTCTGAAAAGCAGAGCTCGAGAGTTCGGATCACAAGCCAGTAAATTGTACAGCAGTGTTGATCCAGTTCGTGGAAGACCACATATAATCAGAGGACCTCTATTCGGCATATTTTTTTGAAGAACTTCCTTGTTGGCAGCAGCATAGTTGAGTACTTTGTTACAATTTTTATGATTGCTGTCAAGAAGAAATAAAAGAAGATGTCGACCTACCGGTGTTAATTTGTGATTTTGAATGATACGAAGTCGATCCAGATTATATGCATGTAAAATATCTTTATGGAAACTGAATTGACTTTTAGCTTCATCCGAGAGATCATCGTCGTGTAGAATGATATCGTTCAATAATACTATACTCTTCACTGTGTCTTCATTAGATGTCATACCTAGTATATTGAAAACGTTTGATTATTCAATAATTGTAGAATGCTTCTGAAAAAATGAGAACGAGTATCAAAAATAATTACGCATACAAGTCCAGCAAAATGATGTGGGCGCCAATCTAACGTTAACCCAACTTGTGTCTCGTGCGAGTAAATAAAAAGAGTTTCGATTATATGTTATCTTCATGCACACAAAAATAGAAGAACAAGTAGATAAACACAAAGACAAATGAAATGAGGTGATAATAGCAGTACTTCATACGGGTAAGGTGTGGGTTTGAGTGTGGGTAACAGAATGCCCTCACAGCCACACACATCGTGTTTGTTTCAAATTTTACGAACTATACTATTCAATTAACAGTTTCAATAAACAAACGCTATTGATATCTGTTTGGTGCAAAAAGAAATCTTTGTTACTATCATTTGATTGAAGACCTACATCTTCATTTGTAGTACATTGTTGATATATTATATTGTATAACCTATTGTTGTCAGTTGAAATAAAATTGAACCTATTGGTGACTCAAAGGTTTAAGTAACTGATAACTAATCCTTATCTATATTGATACTACTCAAGTTTCAAAAGACATAAAAACTAATGTGATCTTAATGTAATCGATAAATTTGAGAATGATTCTTGAATCCTAATATCGAAACACTAAATTCATTGTATACAAGATTAAGGTAAATAATCGCAATGTTCTTATATATTCAAAAAGGTGAACAACGTAAAATTCGAGTATCTTCTTCCACACATGCCAACAGGATGTGGGTAATATTTTATATTTGCTACTTTGGCGATGAGAGCCTCATTTTGATCTGAATATGCCTAGTCTGTTAACTTAAAATACAAACACCTCCACTATCATATCAGGAATAATCTGAAGGTTTGAATGAAGAATATGGCCAGAAAGTTGAAATTTTGCGCCATGACTAAGACAATACTAGTTTTCTACTGAATTTTGGAATAAGGTGACTTTAGTCATATGATCATAATAGACTAAATTGTACTACAACTGCACTCGCGCTGCAAAATCACTTTGATTTACAATTACGAACCCAATTAACGCACTGCGCTCAGTATTGTAGTTCCAGAAAACTGTATCAGAATTGTGCACAACCGTACCGTAGTGAATAAAAACTAAGTGTCATGTGGGGTAGAAAAAACTACAGACAAAAGAAAATAGAACAAAACAGAATCTAACACATTTTTTTTGCCTCGTATTGTATTTCATCGGTGTTTTGTAATCACATAACATCAGAATGTAGCAATAATATGTGAAGTTGAAATAAAATTAAAGACAAATGCGTCATAATCCGTCAGAAAATAATATGAGTCTCTCACATACAACTGAGACGAAAGCAAATAAAGGCTACGGACATAAATCTATGCTGATTTCTTCGATGAATCGAAATCATTTTTTGGGGAATTATCGATTCATGTATTGTCTATTGATTACTTACAGATTATTCTGTGCCAACAAGACTACCAAATGATATCAAATTAAACAAAATCAAACAACAAGATGATTTAATCTTAATTGAATGGAGTAGTTAATTGGATACAAAAGAATGCGATGATTTTTCAAAAATATCAATGAAGAAAAGTTAAAAAATATGACCAATCAATATAATATTCCAAAACGAAATCATTAGCGATGTTTAAAATTTAGTTATCGCATAAACAAATTGATTCGAAATACAAAAACCATTCGGTTTCAATGTTCAACGCACATGTACAATGAGTGGTGTTAATAAAGCAATACGATTACATAAATACCATGAAAATGAATATTTTACACAGCATAAAGATGCCCAATATGCATCTAGTCATGATGGATGGTCATTATTAAGCTTAATTATCTATTTGAATGATAATTTTGAAAAAGACGAAACAAAATTTTATTTTCTAAAAGAATCATTCAAATTTCCTGTGAAAGAATTAACAACGAAGGAAGAAATTGAAGCTTATGGCGGATTAGGTTGTGGTTATGAATATATCACAATAAAACCAAAAAAATGGTCATGCTATACTATTTACATATAATCTTTTGCATGAAGCCATAACGCCGGTAATAAATAATTCTAATGACATCAAAGACCATATCGTAGTATAAACCGATGTCCTTGTTAAACGAAAGAAAAAGCCATTAAAATTTGCAATATCGCGAGAACGTTTAAATTTTTTTTCGCGAATTACAACAAAATGAATTGAAAATGTATAATAATTCGGATCAATCGGTAGAAGCAATTGATATTGGAAAATTATATAAACGTTCGTTATCTATTTGATAGTGTTATCCACGTTTACGTGAATTAAAATCAAAAGAATCAATTAGGAACTCAGATGAACAAAAACAATTGATCGAATAATTACCACCTAAAATGTAGCTTTCTATACTGAGATATTTAGGCAAGATATTTAATATATAATATTTGGTTTTCCCGATTTTCAAATATTGAAAATTATTTTGGGAAGTTAAGAATTGAAAAGCTGTGAGCGAAATTTATTTCACCAACGAATTATTCCAACAATTGATACTCAATATAGTAGTCGAACAATATTTCGCTTCTTGGATTCAAATTTTTTCTGTCAACACATTGATTAATGTTGTCGAGTTGCTGCCGTTTATGGTTTCTTTCTATTAGAACATTGACAAGATTGAACAATTTATACTGTTCGTTATGATCGAAATATGCCCGATTCAGACATGGACAGTTATGATTCAAATGATGAAATCGATAAACTCGATATTCTCAGTAACAAACGAAAACATGCTTCGGATGATAGAGAAGAAAAACTCGTTGATCAATATTTACATAAATATTATGCTCACGATGATTGCTATTGGTGATATGGGTGTGGGTATGACAGCAGAGAATATCAAACACTCACATCCACACACTCCAAATGGTAGTTTCAGGCCTAAACCAATCTTCTTAATAGTTTGGATTTAGGATGAGCCAATCAGATGTACTATTCGAAGTATATAGAATAAAAAAAAAGTTTTTTCTTGACGAAATAGTCGAAGGTTTTGTCTACAGTTTTACGATACTTCGAACATAGCAGTGAAACAGTCAAGCTGACATGTTGAGATTGCTGTCTAACCTTTTCAATAAAACACTTGATGTTTTCATCTGATTCTATTTGACTGATGATGAAAAATTTATCAGTGAATATATGACGAGATAGTGATGAAATGAAATAGATGTCATTAAATAGACAGACAGCAATTTTACTTTCCTAATATTGTTTTATTTCTACCATTGAAACTGAACAAATATCTGGGAGACTATCGAAGTACGAAACCCTGAATAAGATAGACAGTATCAGTTAGGTTTCACTGTCTTGTTTCGTTAAGAAAAAAAAAATTCATACTCAATGATCAGCGTGTCTGTTTCGAGTGATTACCGAAGAAAATTATTTCGGTATCGGTAATGTGTATTTCAGATGACTAGGGTCACATGGTTTGGTCAGAATTCAATTTCGATCTTTAAAATAGGCATATATACGAATGAATTTTCTACCTTTCTTTTCTTCGTGAAGAAAGAATGTTAAGATTTTCAAAAACTTCTTGTCAAAGTTTTTTTATAATTAGTTGACCTGACATAAAGTAAAGTCATCTCACAATATAAAAAAATATTCGTTATTTACGATACTTTAAAGAAAACTGTAATAAGCTATTTATAAACTCTGAACCATGATCAAAGTTTTTTTCCTAGTTAACCAAGCTGATTGTTTGGTTCAGAATCGCTTAGAGACTGTTCTCATGTATATTCAATTTAATTATATACAAATGAATTGATGCTGTTGTGTCTTCGTTCACACGATTCACTGATTCTCTCAAATGCATTTCATCAGTCATTATATTTTGTTCGAGTTATTTGTCAAGGAACCTTTTTCTTCTAATGCTTTACATACTTCTAGAAAAAATAAAAAAGATTTAGTATTATAGTCACTAATTGATTTCGAAATCTACTGAGTTCTTTGTTAAATGTTAGTCAATAGACACGACTACGTTAAACAAGTATAACTTGGTTTTATTTAACACTTAATAGCAAGAAGAAAAAATCAGTAGTCATTAATTAATTTCTTAATATAACGTGTTAACGAATGACTTCTTACTTACATTTAATATCGAGTTTGTTTCTACTCTAATAAAGACTCAGCATGGTGCTATGGGTACCGATCAAGATGTTAAAAGAGAGTCCTCTCTTGAATAGATCGGACTCAACTCTGTGTAGTCTATAGTGATGTCAAGTAAAATACAAAATTTAACTATATTCGCCTAATACAATAATTAAAACAATTTTTATGTTAATTTAAGTAGAAAAACTTAAACTTAATATTACATGTGAAATGATTCATTGGCATTTAATGTTGAAGTTTCATAGACATTCTATGACATTTGTTCTTCTACTTTCTCTTTGAATCTTCTAATATTCTAGCATCCTCTGCGTTATGTCTACTCTAGTTCAGTTTATTTTTGAGGTTGCTGATTCTTGTTTTAATGATTTTATTGCTCTTTTCTCCGCTTGTTTTCTTGGCTTTTCTTCTTAGAGCATTTTTTCTCTGGCTTATGTTTTCTCGTTTTTCTTTTGCTGCTTTCTTCTGCTTCCTCGTTTTGGTATGGCGGAGAAAGGAAGAAAGAAAGTGTGTTGAAGCACAATGGGCAGAAAATGGACTCAGGAACAACTCCCAGTTACTAAATCGCTTTTGAGTCAAGCCCATGTGCATTATATAGGCTCTAATGAGATATGAACATGCTTAAAAGAGTTTGTGCTCGTAACATACTTGTATAGAGGTATTTAATTTTTATATCATTTTTTAGCAAAAAGCCGTGGTCCCCCTCCGGTTCACCTGGCAAATGAACTTTCGAATTTCGACTTGCAAATTTGCATAAATAAAGGTCTCAATGAAACTAGTCTATTCTGAAAGTTTCTGATTTTTGGGTTGCTTCTAACTCGAGATACGAGTATAAGAAAAACAATATTCTTTTTCATATTTTTCATATCATTTATAGCACAAAATGTTAAATGTTCATATTTAAGGATAGGAGGAACCTAGAAATTTGAAACTTTCAGAATAAACTACACTCTAAAAAAAACCGTTTTCTGGGAAACCCACTAAAAAAGGTTTCCGGGCTTTTTTATGCCCAAAAGGGTTTCCGGGTTGATCTCGGAAACCTTTAAAAGGTTTTTGGAAGCAAAAAATGGGTTTCCGAACTTCGGAAACCTTTAAAGAGTTTCCGATAGTGACAAAGTCGGAAACCCTCCACGGTTTCCGAATTTTCGGAAACGGATCACTTTTATCGGAAATCCTTCAGGGTTTCCGACTATGTCACTATAGGAAACTCTTTAAAGGTTTCCGAGGTTCGGAAACCAANTTGTCTACCGACGGAACTGTCATCAAATTAAATTAAATCAAACCAAATATACTTAGTTATAATCAAAATTTGATGCTGAATCCAAATAAATTGGTTTTAAAAAACCATAGTGCCGAAAAATCGGTAAAACCTTAATTTCTTTCATACACAGTAAAATTTTCTACTTTTTTGTCTCAACTAGTATTACAAAGATTTTTCACACAAAATTTGTTCCAAAAAACTAAAAAGCACATATTCGGAATCAGTATCGTGAGCTCTATCAGATGATGTAAAAAAACTTGAAAAATAAAAAGTGCTCCTTTTTTGCCCTTGGTGCACCTTACCTGTATCCGTGCTTGATTACGGGCCACGTTGTAGTACTCTAGTTGCAACTCTGGAGAGAATACTCTAGCAAAGACACTCTGAAACAGTATACTGTGCTGTAGAATGCATATGACATTTTATTTTGCTGCTTCCCATTATCTCGGCGCTCTTCTAACTTTTCGTAGAGCATTTCTTTGTGCATTATGAAATTCTTGTTTCATAGTTCCTTTATTTATTTTTACTAATAATTCAGATAAACTCGAGTTTGAACAAGCAGTGAAAAAGCTATGACAGACATTTCTTTTCAACAAAAGCTACTCTGAAAAAAAAATTCGATCTATTCGAAACGGAACAATTTCGAGTGTGTTCTACTTTTGCCAAAACCCTATTATTGGAGAGGAAAACGCCCTTAGCGGAATCTTCAAAACGTTTCATTGATAATTCTTTTCTCACCGCAACTAGGATTTCAGCAAAGTATTACATAATCAGGATCGCACCGTTTCGAAACAAAGGAAATTTTCTCTTTCTACAGAGTAGAGCAAATAGTTCTAATGAGAATGAGAAATTGATTGAAAGTTTTAGTCAAATGAAAACCATACCAATGTAATAATGTTCATGAAAATAGTTCTGTATTATTCAAATCAAAATAATTTCGATCACCAGGAAATGAAACATTATCATTTTTTAATATCGATGCCGTATTCTTCACGTGTTTAGTAGTTTTGTTGGTAACATCTGTACAACCTTCTATTGATGGATCATAGAGTGCCGCACTATTCGAAGAAAAGAAGCCACTGAGTCCACCAACCACTAAAACATTTCCATTTGTTAACACAGATGCAGTGTGAAAGCGTCTTGCAATATCCATACTTCTGATTTTTGTCCATAAGCCTGTTCGTGGATCGTATAATTCTGCACTAAAAAGCATACGATTATTGCCTCCACCAATTCCACCAACCACTAACACTTTTCCATTTGTTAATACGGATGCAGTGTGAAGATCTCGTGCATCATTCATGCTGCCGGTGTTTGTCCATGACCCTGTTAATGGATCGTATAATTCTGCACTAGAAAATTCACCAACATTAAATCCACCAGCAACTAACACTGTTCCATTTGTTAATACAGATGCAGTGTGAAATGCTCGTGCATTATTCATCCTGCCTGTGTTTCTCCATAATCCCGTTGACGGATCGTATAATTCTGCACTTGAAAGGTGACGACGGCTAACTCCTTCATATCCACCAACCACTAACACTTTTCCATTTGTTAATACGGATGCAGTGTGAGATGCTCGTGCATCATTCATGCTGCCTGTGTTTGTCCATAATCCCGTTGACGGATTGTATAATTCACTCGTGACAAGAGAATCTCCATTTTGCCCGCCAGCAATTAGTATGTTCCCATTTGCTAATGTGGATGCGGTGTGCGACGATCGTTTCGTACTCATATTTCCAGTATGTGTCCAGGATCCTGTTGATGGATCGTACAATTCTGTACTCGCTAATCGACCACTAGAATGTTCTCCGCCAGCAACTAGTACTTTCTCATCTGTTAATACAGAAGCCGTGTGAGAGTACCGCGCACTAATCATGTTACCAGTGGTCGACCAACCTCCTGTGGATGGATCATATAGTTCTGTAAGAATATCTGAATCGTCATCCACAACGCCACCATTAATTAAAACCATTCCATTAGTTAATATGGATGACACATGAGTAGCTCGTCCAGTAGTCATGTTGCCTGTATATAACCAACCTAAAAAGAAGCATCAATGCGTGAGTCATGTAATTTGCACGTATGATCTATCCATGATTCTTATGAGAAAAATATTGATCGATATGTTACTTCACAATCCTGCTCAAATTTCAGACAATATTGATTCATATTTTTCATAATCGAAGGAATAAACTGTGAAAGTAATTATGCCCGCAAAACCACACAGATCTTGAGCAGATATGTAATTAGCAGGATCGATGCACATTCTCATATCCAAAAGAACATATTCGTATGAAACTCTTTCACCATATATAGAGAAAATTTCGGTTTTCAAGCTAACAGTGGTCTTAAGACATTGACTTCCGAATTGAAAATTATTTTATCAGAAATTAAGTAAAACAATTCTATCTCGTGCGAAACATCCCAGTCAGTTGTAGCACAACAAAGCACCCGTTAAAACAGTGACAGTCAAGAAAAATTACCACTTGCTGCCATTTCAGCGTGTTTTGCCCCTATGTTCAAGCTTCTGCAATAGTGAAAAATGTCTCTTTGTCAGTAGTGGGCTAATTCAAGAATTTCAACAAGTTTCTGCTTCCAAAATGAAATGATAGTGTCATTTAAGTGTCTGATCTCTATCTTGGATGTCAATCATCAGTGTCTGTAGAGCAATGGGCCCATACAGTTTTTGGAGATAGAAAACTGATCTAAATTACAATCTAAATTTTTCGTCGAGTCAAAATTTTCAGAAAAAACAACAACAACAACAACAACAACAACAATGGAGTATGAAGTGATTCGAAATTGTCAAACATTGATCTAGTCCCAAAAATATTGTCAGTTTTTGTTTGTCGCGATGCTCTCACTCGATAGAAAAAGTAAAAAATGAGGAGCTTGTATCATTACTTCTTCCATATTATTGCTCTAGAATCGAGATGTGTTTTTTCAATGTACTTAAAACCACAATGGGTTTCAAAATTGATCAATCAGCAGAGTGAGTTTTTTTTGTGGGTTCAAATCTCGACAACAACATCAGTCATCATGACTCGGTCTCATCCATATTGTAGCCATTAGCATATAGTATATGAATGTGCACAATTATTGGAGCCAAACTCTCTTTCTCGTCTATGATTATTGAGCATACAATTAAAGAATGACTTATCCGACTTTTTCTCAATGGATCAACATTTTGCTTTTATGATAGTCTGCAAGACTATTTTCACTTGAAATTTTCTTTATAGAATTACATTGAGAAGATCGAATATTTCTTCACACATTGAACCAATTTTTATTTCAGTATTCTGTTGAAAAATTGTCGATTGTGGATAGTTTTCAGAGGATGTTAGGAATACTTGAAAAAATGAAATATATTTTATTTTAGATTTCCATTGTTTCTTGATTTTCAAGATTTTGTTTTTGAAAGAGTGTGAAAACTATATCGAAAATAGTATCTTTTATAACAATTTTATCGTTGGAAGTAAAGCTACCATTTT